TGGGTTACTAAGTGCAAGTTTTTGAAAGTGATACCTTTATTTTTTCTGTGTAAACTACCATAATGTTAGCAGGAATTGTTTTAACAGTGTTGTTACAGTTTAAAAAACTTCACAAAACACAAGGAATATCGGTAACACTACAATAACAATACATGAATGATGATGTGGTAATATGTAAACTAAACATTATTTTATTATGGACTAATGATGATTTAATGCATGTGATAATCATGAACTAACTTTATTATGAGTCACATGAGTTCATGTGTGAATAACAGCTACCTTAATTACTCGTTACACTCTCAGTAATAAAGGTACAAGAGCTGACACTGGGGCAGTACTTTTTTAAAAAGTACATATTTGTACCCAAAGAGTCCACAGTGGTACCTTAAAAGTGCATATTAGTGCCCAAATGTTCCCAAAAGGTACCTTTGAGGTGCCATTATGGACCCTTTAGATATAAATATGTACCTTTTTAAAAGGTACTGCCACATCATGCTAATTTTACCCATCATGAACTCATGATATGTTAATGTATAATTATGTCATGACTTTACTTGGAGAGGCACATCATCATTAACCCATATTTAACTACTCATGGGCAGCAGGGTGGCACATGGGTAGCGCTGTCGCCTCACAGCAAGAAGGTCGCTGGTTCGAGCGTCGGCTGGGTCAGTTGGCATTTCTATATTCAAAGACATGCGCTGTAGGTGAATTTGGTAAGCTTAATTGTCCTTAGTGTATGTGTGTGAAGGAGTGTATGTTTCCTAGTGATAGGTTGCAGCTGGAAGGGCATTCACTGCGTAAAATATATGCTGGGTAAGTTGGCAGTTCATTCCACTGTGGTGACCCCAGATTAATAAAGGGACTAAGTCAAAAAGAACTACTCATGGACTCCTTATGCACTTCCGTCTTATTCAGTTTACACTGAATGCCAATAAAAAATGTGTTCTTTGGACATCAACATGAGCAGTTTAAACACAGGAGTGATGAGTTGTTAGGGAGGAGTTAATGGTGATGTGCCCCTCCAAGTAAAGTCATGACATAGCTATACATTAACAGCTCATGAGTTCATGTTGGTTACACTTAGCTTAAACTTAAATATGAATTAACACATTAACAACATGTACTAACACGTAACTAAGGTAGTCGTCAGGCCCGTATTGGCTAATCGGGAGGACTGGGAGAATTTTTGGCCGCGAGGGCCGGTGTTTCTAGCTGCTTGCACTCTCAGCAGTCACACTTTTTTTCATTTATTTGACAATAGCCTCACTCTTTTTATTCATTATTTTGCCGCAGCTCCGCTCTTCTTATTTATTGTCTCGCAGCCCCATGAGCAAAATGCAGCCTGCAAGGTAGTGATGATGTAATTATTATTCTGGCCATATGAGTGGAACAGTGCCATTGTGGTCCAGTGGCCAGTATGATGTTTTATGATGCCGTCAATCTGAGTTCGATCTAGAGATCTGCGCGGGACTAAATTTTGAATCCCGCTCCCGCCCACACCCGCCAGGTTTAAGCCCGAACCCGACCGCTCCCGCTTATATTAAGCACTTGTTGTCCCGCTGCCCGACCCGCCACGTTTTCTACCCACCGCGCCCGATCCCGCTAAAGAGCAGGGGGAGAACAAAACCGAAAATTACCCAGTTATACAGTCCAGACAGCCTATAACAAGCTGTCTGCATAAACACACACGCACAGCACCAAGCACACACACACAGACAAAGCTCTCTCTCTCTCATTCGCGCGCGCGCCCACTAACGCCCTATTCACACGGGGCGTCAGCGTCAACGCTTCCCATTCACTTTGAATGGGTGACGTCAGGCGTTGCCGAACTGCATTGTGGATCCGTCGGCGACAATTCAGAAGCGTTCCTCGCTGCAGAAGTTGGGACTAGCTCAACTTTTCAAGCGCCGACGGAAGCGTCAGCCAATCAGATCGCTGTATGCAAATACACCAGCTCAGACAGTGGCCTATTGCTGACTGAATTTTATTGGCTGACGCTGCTATGACGATTTCAGCTCCAACTTCAGACACGCCTTCAGTCAAGCGTTGACGCTGAAGCCCCGTGTGAATGGGGCGTAACACACACTCATAAGCACCAAGCACACACACAGGCAAAGCTCTCTCTCTCTCATTTGCGCGCACACACACATCTCTCATTTGCTCGTGCGCATACATACCCACACACACACACACAGCAACAAACAAGCTAAACACAGCATCGCGCTATTTCATTTACACACATACATAAGCATGCTCACTCAGGAGTCGGGAGCGATATTGCTAGACAGCCCACTACCGTCCCAAATTAAACCCATTACCCACCGCTCCTGTGATTTATTCGGAAATGTATAGGTCTGCGGGAATGCAGACCTCTAGTTCGATCCTTACCCGAATAACTCTTTTTTTTTTTTTTTTTTTTCATTTTTATTGTTAAGACATATAAAACTGTAAGGTTGTTGAACATTTGAAGTTCTAAAGCAGCTGTTTTCCTGAAAAAGACGTGATAAGGCGTGAAAACTGAATTGGAAATGACCTTATTTTAATATAGTCAGTTGTGTACTGAGGTGGCCCGGTCTAAGGCTTGAAACTCCAGGGCTGAAAAGGAGTCCCACTCCGGCCCTAATAGTCGTTATTCACACATGAGCTCTTGTGACTCATTTTGCAGTTAAAGTTAGTTCATGATTAATACGCGCCTTAACCATCATTAATTCATAATAATGTTTCGTTTACATATTAGCACATCCTTATTTATGTACTATTATTGTTAATTGTTAAATGAATATCTTTTATATTTGGAGAACTTTGTTTTTTTGGACTATAACCCTAAAGTTAACAACCAGGGCCAGATTACCATAAGGGCTAGGTGGGGCTGAAGCCCCAAGGCGGGGTAAGGAGGGAGCTATTGATTGGCTGATGAATTAATTTGTGCCATGATGCATGAAACGCCTCTTTGCATTATGCTTTCGAATGCCGATAATGTGGTGTTATTTCGGCTCTCTGCTGTTCAAAAACAGTGATGCTGCTAAACTATGGCTCGGAGAGGCTGTAGCTTAATTAGAGTTTTGAATTTCCCTGTTTAGTCCTCTGTAAGGGTGATCAGACGTCCCATTTTTTTCCCTAGGAAATTTCCTTATTTCAGCTCTACTGTGAGAACGGTCCAATATAGGACAACTAAGTGCATTGTAGAACTCAAATTAAAATGTAAACAGAATCCTTTATTAACATGCATAGAAGAACCACTCAGTGAAGAGTTCTGAAAAGAAGCACATGTAGGTTCTTAGACTGAAGCTCTATTGAATTGCTGTAAAGAACTTTTTTTAGAATGTAATTCTAAATTTGCTTGTTCTCCCCATGTTTGCGTAAGTTTCCCCTACCGTCCAAAAGACATGCAGTATAGAATTAATTAAACTAAAACTGGCTGTAGTGTACTGGCTGTGAGTGTGTGTGAATGAGAGTGTGTGGATATTTCCAATGTGCGATTTAAAATTTTTTGTAGTATACATTCGCCAGTGAATCAAATTCATGAATGTATTTAAATTACATCTAATTTATTAATAAAATGTATTTTTTCAGTGTTTTGAGGGACATTTATTGACAATTTAGAGGTTACAGTAGGCCAAACTATACAAATTATGTGTCTAAATTTGCTTTTTTGTAGGCTATATAAACACCTATTTTACAAGAAACGTGTTTTGTGAATGCTTGAGATGTCTATCGTGCTGTAGAACTGGCATTGTCAGACTGCTGAATGATGTTTTTCCTAGCATTGATTGGTGTGATTGAATGCATTACAGTGGTATGAACTGTTGGGGGAGGGGTCAATTGTATATTCATTATATATTTTTTTTAATATTAATATTTAAGAAAACTAATATTGAAGAAAGCTATTTAATATCTATTAAAGGGATGACCACCCTTATACATCTTGTTTTGATGTCCTTCAGGGGGGATCAAGCATTAATTAGGGGGGTCAATCCTCCCCAAACCCCCTTTTAATTCCCACCATGGATGTTTCCTAATTCTGGGTTGCGAATGAAAGGGCATCCGCCACATAAAAACATTTGCCAGAGTAATTGGTGGTTCATTCTGCTGTGGCGACCCCTGATTGATCAGGGACTAAGCCGAATAGTGAGTGAGTGTTAAATGGAGCAATCAATGGCAATTCAGAACCTTTAAGAGTGTAAAATCCAATAAAATGAACACATATGACCAAGAACTGGCTCAGTGAGCTGCATACCATAACAAATCCACAGATAACAGCACCATTCAGACTTTCTTTAACAGGAGGATGTGATAAAAGACTAGTTTTCTGTTTGTTCATGTGACATTCAGCATAAAACCTTTTAATGAAACGTCTGCCATACTGAAAACCAGTCTTGTTTTATAGGCCTGCATTACACTCTGAGTGAAACAGTCACACTTTCATTTTTATATCAAGACAATATTATGAATACATGTATAATATGTAATGTGTAACTTTAACAGATTGATTAATTTATTTTCCTTTGGCTTAGTCCGTTTATTCATGAGGGGCCGCAACAGCGGAATGAACCGCCTGCTTTAACAGATTGCTTGGAATGAATATAATGACACACTGTTAGTGCCGCTATAGTGTACATTAGTATGGAAAGTATGTTTCTGTGAACGCAGTCCTGTACTCATCCACCTGTATAGCCTTACAACATTATTAACAGCCTTTCCTGACATTTACAAATGGTTTCCTGTGGCCTCACAGGGTGAAGTGGAGATGCTTTCTGCATGTCAAATGGTAAGCATACTAAAACATGGAGATGTAAACAGTATGTGAAGAATTACAGTATTGACAACTTTATTTGATATATTGTAAATGATTCCACTTGTTATTAGACTATACGATTATCTCAAACCTTTCTAAACAAGTTGATCTCTCAGCTGAATGTTCTTCTCCCCTGATGCTGCTGAAAGAGTCAACATGTCGAGTGTATAAAAGGCAGTGTGAGTTGTGGCACATCTTTAACAGTGAATGTGTTACAGTGACGAGCCGTTCACAGCTGGTGAAGACACATTACAGTAGTGTCTTAAGTAATCTTTATCTGTTGTTTTGCATCTATTAAACTTCATATGAGGAAAGTCGCAGGAAACCATACTCACCCAATGCTTCACAATGAATCTTACAGCAGTGAACCAAACTGATATGTGCGAGGACTACTCGTGTCCAGAGAGATCTGTTTCTTTATCTGTCTATGTGATTCTGTATGTGGCCGCAGCAGCTGTGGCTCTTCTGACCGTGTGTGGAAACCTGCTGGTCATCATCTCTGTTAGTCACTTCAAGCAGCTCCACACACCTGCCAACATCCTCATCCTCTCTTTGGCTGCGTCTGATTTTCTCACTGGAGTGTTTGTGATACCACTTCATTTGTCTTTGGTCATTGAATCATGCTGGACTTCTGGATCAGTCATGTGCTTGGTTTTTAAAGTTGTGAACTTTCAGGCAACAAGTGTTTCTGTTCACACTGTGTCTTTAATAGCTGTCGATCGCTTCTTGGCTTTGAGTTTTCCCTTTTTTTACTCTGAGAAAATCTCACTGACTGTGGTCTGTACAGCAACTCTGCTAAACTGGTTGTTTTCACTCATTTATAACTTCACTCTTCTGTATGTTAATGGAAACTTCACTGATGTTGTGCGTCCAGCAGTGTGTTTTGCCATCACAGATGGGATTTCATCAATTATTGATCTTCTGCTTGTGTTTGTAATGCCATGTACGCTCATTATAATATTATACACTCATGTTTTTGTCATTGCTAAGAAACATGCGACTGCTATAAGAGCCCTTCAGGTTCACAACAGCACAGAATCCTCTAAGAACAAAATCAGCGACAAATCAGAGAGAAAAGCTGCGATGCTGCTGGGGATTCTGGTCTTTGTGTTTCTCCTCTGTTTGCTGCCGTATTATATTACAGCTTTAGCGATACCATACAATAGTGAAAACACACTTCAAATCAGAGATGTTGCTGTGATATTTTTCTTTCTGAACTCCACCATTAATCCCATCATTTACGCTTTATTCTATTCCTGGTTTCAAAAAAGCATCAAATTAATTTTCACATTTAAAGTCTTTCATAAAGACTCCTCGCTGATGAATGTGATGTAGGTCACAGAATTAAAAATAAAAGACTCCCTTCAGTTTTCCTGTTTTCATAATACATGCATTATTATGTTTTGCAATATAGTACTAAACATTAGCATGAAAACATATATATTGTTTTCATTTTATCCCAGTGTACGGTTTATATTTTCAATTCCTTCATGTCACATGAATGCAATCATAGTTTATATAACAAACTAAATGGTAAAAAGCAAAACAGGTCAAATATGAAGTGAGTTTTGAAAGACAACCATTGCAGCTGATCCATTGTTTACATTATAAATCAAGTTAATAAATTATATTTGTATAAATAAATGTGTTGTAAATGTGTATAGCATCCTATGGTTTAAAACAGTATGTCTTCTTAAATAAACAATAAATTAAGTAGACACCACACATGACTTGATATCACAGGGTTCATACGGTCATGAAAAACCTGGAAAAGTCATGAAATTTTGACATGGCATTTTCCAGGCCTGGAAAAGTTTTGGAGAATCTGAAAAACCCATAAAGTTTTGGAAAGGTCATGGAAATTAGTTTAACAAATATCTGTATACTTTATGTATAGTTGTCTTTACTTCTTTTCTGTCCATGGCCAAACACATGCTCTCACATTATTAGTGCTGCATTGTCTAAATAAATTTTACATAGATATAAAGGTTCCTTCAAACTAAATAGACTCTTGCATGTATTAATATATGCTGTAATGAAGGTGCAATGTTTTACTTATTATTTACTTAGTATATATACACATACATTACATTACATTACATTGTTTTTGTTATATATGGTTTTACATAATATGTTTAGTCAGTTTGACTAATGTAAGTTGAGATTGTACAACTTTGTTTAACTCAGCTGAGCAATTTAAGGCAGTAATGTGTTTTTTTTTTAAGTGCATACAACACCAGTCAACAGCCAAGACATTTGGGTCAGACAAAGGTTCCCATAATGGTTCATTCTGCCAATGATGTAAATTCCTTCAGTCTAAAGGATTCTTTTTATTATCATTTACTTTCATTCGGCTTAGCCCCTTTGTTTATCAGGGGGTGCCACAGCGGAATGAACTGCCAACTTATGTTTTACACAGCGGATGCCCTTCCAGCTGCAACCCAGCACTAAGAAACACCCATACACTCTCATTCACACTCATACACTATGGCCAGTTTAGTTTATTTAATTCACCTATAGCGCATGTCTTCGGACTGTGGGGGAAACCAAAGCACCCGGATAAATAAATAAATAAAAACTATTCCTAAAATTTTATACAGAGATATCTTTTTTTTCAAAGAGATGCTTTCCTTATATATATTTGAATGTATATATATATATATATATATATATATATATATATATATATATATATATATATATATATATATATATATATATATATATATATATATATATATATATATATATATATATATATATATATATATATATATATATATATATATATATATATATATATATATATATATATATATATATATATATATATATATATATATATATATATATATATATATATATATATATAT